TTAATATATATATATATATATATATATATATAATAATAACTAACCTAACTAACTAACTAACTAACTAACTAACTAACACACACACACACAACAACACACAATATATATATATATATATATATATATATATATATATATATACATATATATATATATATATATATATATAATCTATCATTAAAATATAGTCTGTCATTACGTATAATCTGACATTGACGTATACTCATCACTTGCATATAATTTAACATCAACATATAATCTGACAGAAACGTATAATCCATCACTTATTCACCAAATAACACCAACACATCGCATGCATGCCATGCACCTACCGGCATATTCAGTAGTGCATAGCGCATGTTTGTGACAAACGCGTTGCACTCCTTCGCCGCCACGCGCAAGGCTTTCGTGTGCACAGTGACGTGAAACTGTGACTCATCCATCACCTGCACATACGTAGAGGAGTGTGGGTGAGTATATATATACACACACACACACACACATATATATATATATATATATATATATATATATATATATATATGTGTGTGTGTGTATGTGTGAGATCGTGTGTATGTGATCGTGTGTGATCGTGTGTGCGTGTGTGTGTGTGCGTGTGTGTGTGAGCTGACTGCATGCAGCGGAGTTTCAGGGTTGTAAGGTTTTAGTGTTTTAGTTTTTAGGGCGAGGGGAGGGTTTAGGGGTTTCAGCCTATAAACCTCATATACACCACAACTAACAGGAGAATAAACGCAACACGACATCATTTCAAGGGCCATAGGTATGACGACAGAAAGTCACTACTACGCTCCCAAGTAGTGGGATAAGCATACTATGTGAGTCATGTGTAACACTCACCTTCAAAATTCATATGTGAGTAACGTGTAACGCTCATCTTCATAATCTAATGTCAGTTACGTGTAACACTCACCTTCATAATTCATATACCAGTTACGTGTAGCACTTATCTTCATAATTCATATGTCAGTTACGTGTAACACTTACCCTCATAATTCGTATGTCAGTTACGTGTAACACTTAACTTCATAATTCAAATGTCAGTTACGTGTAACACTTACCCTCATAATTCGTATGTCAGTTACGTGTAACACTTACCTTCATAATTCAAATGTCAGTTACGTGCAACACTTATCTTCATAATTCATATGTCAGTTACGTGAAACACTTACCCTCATAATTCGTATGTCAGGTACGTGAAACACTTACCTTCATAATTAATATGTCAGTTACGTGTAACACTTACCTTCATAATTCGTATGTCAGTTACGTGAAACACTTACCTTCATAATTAATATGTCAGTTACGTGTAACACTTACCTTCATAATTCATATGTCAGTGACGTGTAACACTCACCTTCATGCCCCGAGTGGTCACTGGGGGTCTCAAAGTAGACAGCCATTGCGACGCTGCTTTAGTAACCTCTGCTGGCAAGGAATAGCCTACAGGCACGGAAAGGACAACCACATGTACACATGGGATGAGCAATAATCACATGTACACATGGAGTGAGTATTGTAGGCTACAGTTAAAAAGAGACTAACCATATGTAAACATGAGATACGTTCATATGCACCGGTGGGATTGGCTGACGACATTTTTTGTACAGTCACATTGAATCAAGTAGCATAAGCCAAATACGCCTCTCGTGCAGCTACACCAGTAAAACTGTGGCTCTATTCAGAACTGAGTGTGTGCATGCTAACTCGTACAAGTGACGCACATATATATACACCGAAACACAATCCTCGATTATCCATTGCCTGGCTGATACACTTACGTGTCATCACAAACTCAGGCATGTCAGCTCTGGTGTTGGTTGTTTTAATCGTGCAGGGGTTCACCAAGTAAATATATGAAGGAGAATACAGCTACTTTTATCAGATATTGCATCGCTCTGAGATTGTTTGTGTACGGGTAAGCGATGATTGTATGTGGGCGTAGGTGACACTGCTCACGACCAAAGCTCCTGTGCGAGTGCAATCGAATACCATTCCTAACTCTATTCAGATAGCAGTAACAACGGCGCTTCGCAAAAATAAATCAATTTAACGCGATACTGCAGTAAGTTAAGAATAAGTGTGGTGGTGAGTTCTCGTTTGACTCGGTCGATATAACAGGTGTTTCTACTGGTTTCTACTGCGATCGAAAGGGTGAGTGAGCTCGCTCGAACGCATTCCCTCACTGTGCCATGAAACATATCACATTTCCTCCGCAGAGATATACGATATGGGAAGTTGCTTCAATTAAAAGTTTACCTTGAGGGGGCTGTGTGGTGTCGGACATGCTACATAGACGTCGCAAAGGGGTCACAACAGTGCAATGGTATTTGATACGCCCGAGATTGATAGCAGACCTACACAGCAGCATCAATCAGTTCGTCCTTAGTAGTAGTATGCTCTTCAAATGTCTTACAGTTCGTCTTTAGTAGTAGTATGCTCTTCAAATGTCTCATAGGTTCATGGTATTAAACTCGGGCAAAAATTCACAAAGAGATCGGATGTAGCATAACAGCCGTGGAGCGAGAGCAGTGACGAGAGAGATGCACTATGAAACGCCTTACAATGCTTGTCCTAGTATGTGCGCAACTGCGCATGTCAGAGTCAGGCTGTCAGTCATACCAGCTACAAGAGAGTTCAGCTTCAAAACTTTGGCGTTTTTTAGGGTTTTAGCAATGTAGGGTAATTTACAGAATAGGGTTTAGCAATGTAGGGTAATTTACAGAGTAGGGTTTAGCAATGTAGGGTAATTTACAGAGTAGGGTTTAGCAATGTAGGGTAATTTACAGAATAGGGTTTAGCAATGTAGGGTAATTTACAGAGTAGGGTTTAGCAATGTAGGGTAATTTACAGAGGGTAGGGTTTTCAACCCCGTGTCACATGTATGCTGGCAGTTTGCACAGAGGAAAGTGGATCCCGCCCTAATTGATAATTTAATGACAAATCCAATCAGAATTGAGTAGTAAATAAATTACATTAAAATATCATACGTATAATTTAGTGGGCTAAGAATATATCATGTGTTTCCTTATTTTTATAGTCGTGAGCTAAATGGACAGCGGGTCGCGGTATGTACAACTACAAGTCTACAAGTAATAAGTGCTACGGTGAGTGAGAACTGGCATCTTTAGAGGAACAGTCACTTACTTGAACAACCGTGCGTCCTCTCGAGGTACACGGATGGCAAAGTAGGACTCCTGATACGAACGGATCTATTTTTGCAAACGTATTTCTTCTAATGCTGTATTCCGCAATTGCGGCGCCAGGGTGATGGCTAATACCGGGGATAGTTGTTTAGTATGAGCTACAAATTGTCGATATTAATAAAACTGAGATTTGCCAATTGTAGCAATCATGATAGAGCCAAGTGTCATATAAACGCGTTTACAGATATACATACTTTAATAAAAATAAAACTTCAACAGAGTTGACTTTTTTTCGATGCATTTTACTAAGCAAATTTTGTTCCGTGTTGGATAATTTGGGCATCAATTGAGAGAAAGATCTATATACTCACCGATTCCCGCTCAAGACGTTTAAAACACATGCCTTACGAAGGGCAAACCGTCTCGCATTCATGATGCTTCCATATTTTAATTGCACAATGGATGTATTTTATCAGTTGTGCGATAAGCAGCATTGTAATTTAATATGAAATGTTTAGTATGTGCAGCAAACATACATCTTCAAACACTGACATTGTTTTTTTCTCCCCGACCTACTCCCGTTCTCCTCACTGACATCGGAATTTAGGTGATCATCTCCATTTGAAACAGGTCAATCATTTAATATTAACTGCTTCACCCCAAATACTCGCGGGTGGCGATTCAAACGTAGCTATATCTAGGTTTGTGATATGTCTGCTATATCATCTCGTAGTGCAGTCTCCAGTTTTTATGAAACCTAGACTCCTGAAATATTTATGACAACCTACAGCAAAAACACCTAAACGACTGCTTACAAAACCACAGCAGCATTATTTCAAGTAGAAGGCGATTAAATATAATACACTTTTGCTTAAGGTAAGAAACTGACACTGTTTCTGTCCACAAAACCACAGCAGCAGCATTTAAAGTAGACGGCGATTTAGTATAATACACTTTTGCTTAAGATAAGAAACTGTTACTTTTTCGTTTCCTATTGTAAGACTCCAATAGTACAAGATACAAAAAAGCCCTCGAAAGAATGAAAGCGTTCCCCGAGGCGACCGCTGTCTGTTTGCACATCTGACGCGTTTACTGTACACAATTGAAATTGATACAATACGATTTTGTTTAGCGTGAGAAACTGTCCCCGTTGCGTTTCCGCTGTCTGTTTGAACTTCTAATTACTTTTGTTGTACACTATTAAATTTAGTACAGACGTTTTTGTTTAGCGTTAGAAACTGTCTCCGTTGTGTTTCCGCTTATTGTTTGAAATTCTAATTACGTTTGTTGTACACTATTAAAGTAGTACAATACGTTTTTGTTTAGCTTTAGAAACTGTCTCCGTTGCGTTTCCGCTGTCTGTCTGAACTTCTGTTACGTTTGTTGTACACTAACGTCTCAAGGCGAGACACACAAACACAGCCATGCATACAATACATCAACTGCGTTCCGTCTGGTGGCCAGTGAAGTACATCATCACTTGGTCCCTTCCTGAGGGCCTGAGAGTTTGCCTTCAACCAGACCTATCTCTTCCCATCCCATGCGGATCACCTGGTTGTTGCACCCCTCTGCACACTGCGCATCTAGACCACACCCCCTGTGCCCTGGTCCTCATCGGTCCTGGTTGTGGCGGGTGCAGGTGCACCGCTAGGAGAGCATGACCGTACACGTGCGCTCATGGTCGTGTCGAGGATTTCCTGTGGGGTCCACTTAAAGGACTGCGCTCCACTGGATTTGCGTCGTGGCTCAGTGGTGATCGTCATACCCCTACGTACACACACACGCACGGAAAGGGTGTGAAGTGAGGGTTTAGGGTTTAAGGTTCGGGATGTAAGGCATAGGGTATAGGGCTTAAGGTTGAGAATATATATTTTTAATTTAGGCCGAGGTTGTGTGGAAGTCTGTGGCAGCCTGCTATTGCTGGATAAGGTGAGCACATAATGCGCGCTTGTCTACCCCCATAACAATCTGTATTGCGGCCTCAGAGGGTAGCCAAAACGACACACCCACACATTTGAAATATGTACCGATTGAGGGTAGGCATAAGACGCATACACACAATCTTTCAATCTGTGCGTGAGACTACACCGACACATGATATGATATCAAAGGGTCAGACACTCAGTTGACACGTGCACGCTGGCAGAAAGACAGCAAGTGCTCGGTTCAAATACATGACATTACAAAACTATAATAGGTATGTTCATGGAAGTCTATCTATAAACATATGAAGCCAGGGGGGACTCTGAACAGCGATGAAGCGGTGGTAAAATGAGCATACCCATACTAAAAGGATATCACAATCCAATACACACCTCCTAGACCCGGACTCTGACATCCTCTTATTTGAATCACGCAGCCCTTTCTCAAAAAGCAACAACTGGATGTCGTTAAGATGATAGTTTGTCTCGTCTGGGTCACGATCTGTGGTAGGCCGAGCAGATGTAGGTATGAGCAAGTGAGTAGATAAAAAGGCACATAGACTGTGCAGTACCCCAAGTGATGTACGTATGAGCAAGTACACACATTTACACATATACACATACATGCACATGCACACATGCACACATGTACACACACACATACACACATGCACATGCACTCATGGCCGCATGCATACACACGTACCCGTGGTGCCCTTGAGATGGCGCATGTACGCGTAGTTCTCTCTGCCTCGACTGACATCTGATGTTATGCTCAGTTCCCCCACACTCCCCACACTGTGGTTGCCCAGGCTGAAGTTGCTGTTGACGCTGCCACGGCTGTTGTGCCGAGCCAACATGAGAGCCGCCGAGTGATGTGCCGTGAGAGAGGAGCTGCGTTGCTTGCTGGCTCTAGCCTTGGTCCCACTAGAGTCCCGGCTTTCGCTCTGATAGGGTTTAGGGTGCGATGGTGTGTTTGTGGTTTGATTGAGACAGTGTGTGCGACGAGTGTGGAGATGAGAGAAAGCGAGTTGAGAGCAATCATGGCAGACTAAACAGAACATATCAGATCACAACAAATCAAACTATATAAAACACAAACCCTAAAACCTTAAAAAAAACTCCTCATCATACCATACGATACAACACACATACAACATATCATAATCATACCACACATTATCACACACACACACATTACAACACACACCGAACATATCATAGCACACATTACAACCCACACCCAACAGATCATAGCACACATTATAACACACACATACATTACAACACACACCCAACATATCATTGCACACATTATAACACACACACATATTACAACACACCCAACATATCATAGCACACATTATAACACACACACACATTACAACACACACCAACATATCATAGCACACATTATAACACACACATACATTACAACACACACCCAACATATCATAGCACACATTACAACACACACACCCAACATATCATAGCACACATTACAACACACACACACACCCAACATATCATAGCACACAATACAACACATACACACATTACAACACACACCCAACATATCATAGCACACATTACAATACACACACACAACACACCAGATTGAATGAGGACTGCAGGGCCAGTTGGTCGGGTGTGAGGTGGCTCCTGCGGGTGGTGTGTTGTGGGACTGGTCGTCCGGGGCTACTGCTCCTCTGCCGTTTCCTGTCTCTGGTGTTGTGCCAGTTTATGTTGGGTCTGGTCCCACCCACACTGCGCCTAGGGTTGCCATGGTTACCAGGGTTGCTAGGGTTGTCGCCTATAGTGTGCGCATGTGGTTCGCCCGGGTCGTCTGGCTGAGCCTCGCCAGTCGCTTGGGAGGCACCGTCCTCCGCAGTGCCCCCCGACGTGCTTGCATTCAATTGGCTGTTATTTTTAGAGGACTCCGCACTGCCCAGCCCGTACCTCCCATAGCTGGACAGAGTGCGCTGGCGGGCGGTCATAGGCGAGGAGCAGGTGCGTATGTAGGGCTGTGTGACCTTGCTCCGGGTGCTCTGCTCCGCCCCCCCTTTGGCTGCCCCCGTTGCTTTGTTGTTGTTGTTGTTGTTGCTGTTGCTGTTGCTGTTGCTGTTGCTGTTGCTGTTGCCGCTGCTGTTGTTGCTGTTGTCTTCATCGGTGTTCTCGTCTTCGCCGCTGCGTTCAGAAAGTGTGTCTGCACTGTACAGGCGACTGTTGCGCCGTGTGGCCTGGCTACCAGCCCATCCCGCGGTGCGTGCGGTGTTGTTGCTGTTATTGTTGCTGTTGCTGTTGCTGTTGCTGTTGCTGTTGCTGTTGCTGATACTACTACTGCTGGTGTTGGTGTTGGGGTTGGTGTCTGTGGTAATCTTTGAGCTTATGGGCGTCGTGGTGGTTGCATGGCTGTAGGGTGTGCTGAGCCTGCCACTGCCACTGGTTGTAGTGGCTGTAGTGGCTGTGGGGTGCATTGATCCACTGCCCTTGTTAGAAAGAGTGCGTGCGCGTATCTGGTCGCGTGTTAGATACACCTGGCTGCGTAGCCTCTCCGTCTCCAGATCAGTGGCTCTGTTGGTGTTGGTGTTTGTGTTTGTGGTTGTGTGTGCTGTCGTCTGTGATCCATCCCTGCCATCCACACCCAAGGCACCACCCGCTCCACTAGAGCGTGCGTGCGTGTGTGACATCTTACGCCCGGCCCTGTCCTTATCCTTGTCCTTGTCCTGTTTTTTGGGTCCTCGCGAGCCCTCGGAAGGTGAACGGAGACCAGTCATGGCCTTTATTTTGCGGTCACCGCCTGTGGGGGTGGGTGGCAGAGATCGTGGCCTGGTCAACGACTCAGACCCCTCCCGCGTTGGAGTGGGGGGACTGTGCTGCGTGGGAGTGTGTGTGTGTATGTGTGAGGGTGGTTGTGAGTGTGCGGGTGTGTGTGAGGGTGTGTCTGAGGGTGTGTTGGTCACATAGTCCGTGTCAATGTGCAGTTGTGGTGATGATCTGACACGTGGATGTTTGTTGTTGATGACACTATGTGGCACGCCCGTGCGATGCGGTGCCAGTGTGTGAGACTTTGTTTGTGCGTACATCGGTGTGTGTATTAGCGCGTGTGCCTGTGTGTATGTGTGCATTGGTTCTTGTGACTGTGTCTGTCGTTGTGGTTGTATTTGTGTCTGTGAATCCACCTCGTTATACACCTGCACCTGTAATCTGGTGTAGTGGCCCTCATTCGAGTGTGTGGCGGGTGCAAGTGTTTCTGCTGCCCTGGTGCTGTACGGGGCAGTGTAGAGTCTTCGCTTGTTTGTCTGTGGCGTGGGTGGCAATGGTCTCGACTGTCGTGTGCGTGTGGGTGTTTTAGTCAGTGACTGTGTGCGCACATAATGAGTGTCTGTGTTGAGTATGTGTTGCTTCTCCCATGCCCTTTGCTCCTCTGAGGTGTGTGTGTGCTTAGCCATCACCACACCCAGCGCAGTGGTCTGTGTGAGTGTCAGCCCTCGCCCGTGCGTGTCCATCACTTCGTCAATGTACGCATACCCGTCCACCCCACCCCCACCCATCTCGGCCCTGTCCTCCCCAGAAGCCCCAGGACCGCCTGCCCTCCAACCACCATCCCTTCCATTCGCATCCCCACCCACCGGCCCTAACCCCTCGCCCAAGGGACGGCCCTGACTGTCGTGGGTGTCCGGGTACGCGTGCACAGGTGCAAAGGCCCTGTGCGCGTCGTTGCGTACAATGTACGTGTGCGTGTCTTTCAGCGGCTCGTTGTCGTCGTCGTCGTCGTCTTTGTCCATGCCCTGTCCACTGTCGTTGACTTGCAGCGCATACCCCTTTCCCTTCGCATCGGCATATACATGGGTGTATGTGTGCATGTGTGCTGGTGTGTGTGTGTGTGCTGGTGTGTGTGTGTGTGTGGGTGTGGGTGTGGGTGTGGGTGTGGGTGTGTTGTCGCTGAAGTGGTCTTCATGCGTGAAGGGAGGAGAGGACTGTCCCATGTCGTCGCTGTGGCGTGTGATGTGCACACCTGAAGAGCTGTTGAGGGGGTCGTAGTGGTACGAATGGCGGCTGATGGGTGTGGGTGTGGTGTTGCGCGAGATTTCTCCACTGGCCCTGGTTTTGTGGGGGTGTTCGTTGGCGTAAGGTATAGGAATTTAGAGTTATAGGGTTTACGAGGTGTGTAGGGTTCTGATAAGGGTTGGATCATGGAGTGACAATTACGATTGAATCTCCGTGCTACGCAGGTATCAAATCTAAATCATTGGAAATTCGCATCATGCGCAATGTACAAATTAAAATAGCAGTCAATGCGTATACGTACATACATACATACATACATACATACATACATACATACATACATACATACATACATACATACATACATACATACATACATACATACATACATACATACATACATACA